TTTCTAGAAGAAGCTTCCCAGAAGGAGGGATCAGTTACCCAAAGATGTGGCTTGCCCTTCCCTCTTCCTCATCATTAACTATTATTTGTTATAACAGAGCAAGCTGTCTCTCTCACCCTACCCCCTGCCCTGATGCAAGATCACTCTGTAGGACGCTGTGGGTCGGTGCAGCTCTCCCTCCATGTTATCTGACCACTCTCTTCCTTCTTAGAGCCTCTCAACCCCCTTTATCACACCTACTGAACAAACTGTTGCTTGCTATTTTTATGTTCCTACCCAGGGTATGAGCTGCTTAGCGGCCAGGTCTATCTGTGACCCTTCATCTTTGCACTCCTGATGCATTCAGGGTTTGGAACTCAGCAGGCCCTCAGTGAAGGCTGAATGAGTTACTCTGTTTATATCTTTTGGAGTACCCGCCAGATTAAAACCAAACCTGTTGCTGCTGAGTTGATTCCAACTCATAGTGACCCTATAGGACAGCGGAGAACTGCCCCATAGGTTTCCAAGGCTGTAATCTTTATGGAAGCAGACTGCCACATCTTTCTCCCACAGAGCGGCCGGTGGGTTCAAATCATCGACCTTTCGGTTAGCAGCTGAGTGCTTAACCATTGTGCCACCAGGGCTCCTTCCAAGCAGATTAGACACCCACTAAAAATTGGTTAATTATTTGACTGCCACCTAGTTATTTTACTATAACCGATTTAACTTTGGTGTTTTGTTAGAAAACACACTTCCAATCTACTGTAGTTTCAGGTAGAGATAAGGAGCCCTGGTAGCGCAATGGTTAGGCGCTCTTCTGCTAACTGAAAGGTCAGTGGTTCAAACCCACCAGCGGTTCCACGGGGAGAAAGATGTGGCAGTCTGCTCCTGCAAAGATTTACAGCCTCGGAAACCCTATGGGGCAGTTCTACTCCGTCCTAGAGGGTCGCTGTGTGTCGGCACTGACTCGATGGCACACAACAACAGCAACAACAGTTAGAGCCGAAAGATCTGACATAGTCCCACTCGATCAAAATTTTAAATGAAAATAAGTATCCTGAAAGGGAAGTCCACTGACCACGCCTTCACATCCAGCCCTTCTCTAGTCACTCCTTCCCTAGCCCCTGTCGGAGCACCTTCTGTGTGTCAGGCTCTGCTCTGGTGTTGGTGTTGGAGTAGGAACAAGGCAGACAGACATGGTACCAGCCTCCCAGAGCCTGCCATCCACCACGGAAAACAGACAACATACAAGTCATTATACGAATACTTAATTCATTGCAGTGATAAATATTCAGAGAAGTTCAATGTGTATGTCAAAACAAAAAACATTAATGAGGGTATTGTTTTTATAAGGTGAGTATTCTGGAGTTTTGGTGCGCTTTTTAGAGACAGTGGTGAGGATTCCTAAGAAGAAAGAAGAGAACCTCAATACGATTTAGACTCTAATACTCAACATGGAGCCCTGGTGGTGCAGCGGTTGAGATCGGCTGCTAACCAAAAGGTCGGTGGTTCAAATCCAACAGCCACTCCTTGGAAACCCGATGGGGCAGTTCTACTCTGTCCTATAGGGTCACTATGAGTCAGAATCGACTCCACAGCAATGGGTTTTTTTGGTTTTAATACTAAATACATTTTGTTATTCATTAGCTAAGACTGAAAATGCCTTGAGTGCTTAAAGCCTTGTCTTCACTTCAGCTAATCAAAAGTTCAGAAGACATCAACAGAATCCACATGGTGTTTCTTATTTATTATAAACTCAGGGTTACTAAGCTGTAACATATCCTGCCAGGACAGAAGTCTTGTAAGCATCCAGACTGTACCATGCTTCCTGGGCAGGGAGGGGAGAAACTACATACGTGATTATAATATAGCCCTTCCTCTGCGTCTACTCCGACCTCCAAGGAAATCTCATAATGTTACTTTCCTGTTTAAAATCCTTCCATGGTTCCCTAATATCTACAGTATAAAAGTGAAACTCCACTGCATTGCATGCTCTTAAGGCCTTTGGTGAACCTGTCCTGCCTCCTTCCCATCCAGCTTCTCCCCCAGGTGCATGCCCCCACCCCGAGTCACCCTCCACTCCAACCTCACCCACTTGTGGTTCCCCAAATTTGATACGTTCTTTCATCATGCTGCATCTTTATGTTATTGCCCCTAACCCTCACAGCATTTGGCAATCCTCTTTCTCAGTTTCAGTACATTTATAACATTTAATACATTTGTTTATGTGCCCATTTCCTTACACCAGGTTCTGAACTCCCTGAAGGCAGGAGACGCCGTTGTATTTATCTCTGTATTTCAAGAACCCAACACAGTGTTTAGACTGACAGATTAAACTAAATGAAAAAAAAAAAAAAAAAAAAGGCTAGAAGAGAGGGAATCTGAATTTGTAGCAGTCTGTGTTTATCTTCCTTTCTTTAAGTCTTAGATTTGGTTTAAGGAGCCCTGATGGTGCAATGGTTAAGCTCTCGGCCTCTAACCGAAAGGTTAGCGGTTCGAATCCACCAGCCACTCCCTGGGAGAAAAGACCTGGCAATCTGTTTTCATAAAGATTACAACCTAGGAAACCCAGTGGGGCAGTTCTATGAGTCCTGTGAGTTGGAATCAACAACTCACAGACAACAACATATTTGGTTTAGTTTTAACTTTCTTGTTGGATTTTACTGGTGTGTTCCACTTAGTATACACGGAAGGGTAATTTCTTAAGCTTGGGAAAGGTTCAAAAGAGAGAAACTTGATAAGTTTTTTTTTTTTCTCTTTGATTAAAAATAAAAACCTGAACATAACAAAACCCTATCAGTTGTTAATTCTGAGTATTAGGTACACGTGTAGCGTAAAATTCCTGCTTGCGGGTGGGGAAGAGTGCGAGAAGAAGGGGAATAATGATATACTTACTTAAGATAGTAGGTATTTGAGTACATTTGATTATTTTAAAAAGACTTCATTGTGTGGCCCTTGGTTTTGGCATATTCATAAGAAACAGGGATGGCATCCCCAAGGGGTGATAAAAACTGTGCTGAGTCTACTTACTGAAAAAATAAAGAAAATATAGGAATGGAAGCTGCAGAACTAAGAATCCGGAAACTTAACAATAGCAATAGTCAAAACAGAAAAGGTGGGGAAAAATGTCTTTGAGCGCATGTCAGATCATGATCGGATTTAATATGGGACGCCATTCTTGCTGACAGTAGTCCTTGTTTTCAAAATACATGGATACATTTCCTACCTACTAGGTTTTCTTAAAACCCTCGTACTATTGAGTCACTAAAATTCCTAATGTACTTGTTTATATGAGAAGGTAAAATTCAAATGATCACTTCTTTGCTTGGTTTACAGAATTACTAAGCTTCCACATACATTAAAATTACATGACACCAACATTAAATCAAGAAAATATAAGCATTTAACTGAGAAGCATAAAATGTTTTGTTAATTCAAGCTATTTTAATATGTATTATTACCAAATGATATTTTAGATAGAGTCTAGCATCAACAAACTACCCAAGATATTATGCATTAACTGTAAATTTCTGAACTTTGCTGTAAACATCTTGAAGGCAAGAATAGTATCTTTTTTTTTACTTTTTAAAGTCTCTACAGCACCTACCACAAGGAATATCACGAGTGGGCAGAATAAATAACGCCAGTGAGGACTTTGTGTTTTTAATGCAATGAGGGTCTAACTACCAATTTCAAGATTATCAAGAAACACAAAATAAAGATTTAGAAAATAAATGGATAAGAAAGTATATGTTAAGACAATCTCTGATGTATCTACATCATTTCACATCACAGAGGAAGGAAGAATTAAATGCTGTTTTAAACTGATACTGACAACATGTTAACCTCACTGTTGTCATTCTTGGAGGATGAAGGACAAATGATTCATTAAACAAATCCCAAAGACTTCAATAACACACATTCTTCTTGTTTTCACTTTCTGACACATTTTTTCAAAGTGCCAAAACTAAGAAATATCTCACCTTTAAATACCATATATCGTTAACGGCTGCCCTGTGAAGAATGTGACTCACTCCTCAATCAAGTAAACAGTAATATAACAGAGTTTGATATTTCTTCTCATCTGAATTTCAGTATGATCATATTTTTTAACCTGTTATCATAAAACTCTTATAAATGCAGAGTTACTGGGTTTTATTTTCTTATCCATGGCAATAATATTTTTCTAGAAATTCTCTAGTGGTGGTGGAAGACAAGAACTGTGGTTCCACAATCCACCTCGCAATCCTAAAGAGTTACTGAAATTATCAGTCCGAGCTGACCAGCTGCAAGGGGGAAGAGGGGCTGACAAAATTCATCAAGCACATTAAAATGGTTTCTTTCAAAAGCATTTACTGTGGCCGAATCCAGGGGTGGCAGTGGAAGCCCTGTTAAGGGGCACCTCTTCAACTCCAGGAAAGAGTCAGGACAGAGCTTTGTGGCAGAGGCTGGTCTGTGGGTCCAGCAGTCGATTGTTTACTCTGGAGTCAGGAGACTGGGAGGCTATGGCTTGGATTCATAAGGTTTTCACTGGCCAATTTTTTGTACTGGGCAAACCTGCTGCAAAAGACCTCTTTATAGTGTTAAAAAGCAAAGATGTCACTAAGGCGGGCCTGACCCAAGCCATGGTGTTTTCAATCGTCTCATATGCATGTGAAAGCTAGACAATGGATAAGGAAAACCGAAGAAGAACCGATGCCTTTGAATTATAGTGTTGGCAAAAAATACTGAATATACCATGGATTGCCGGAAGACTGAACAAATCTGTCTTGGAAGAAGTTCAGCCAGAACGCTCCTTAGAAGCAAGGATGATGGCGAGACTTCGTCTCACGTACTTTGGACATGTTATCAGAAGGGACTAGTCCCTGGAGAAAGGCATCAAGCTTGGCAAAGTAGAGGGCCAGCGAAAAAGAGGAAGACCCTCAACGAGATGGATTGACACAGGGGCTGCAACAATGGGCTCAAGCGTAACAATGACTGTGACGATGGCACGGGACCGGGCAGTGTTTCGTTCTGTTGTACACCGACCGGGTCACTATGAGTTAGCACTGTCTCGTCGGCACCTAGCAACAACACAACAACATGGCCTGGACGCTGTGGGCAGCTGCAAACAGCTAGCTTTGATTTTGTCATGTGTGATGAGAGGATAACACATAAGGAAGCACACTGCCAAGTGTTAGCACCACAATGCTGAAACTTTTATCAATAGTTTTTAAACTTTCTAGTTTGGAATAATTGCGTATTTTTCGAAAAATTGCAAAAATAGTACTGAGAAGCCCGGCTTACCCTTCATCCAGATTCACCAATTGTTGCTTTGCCACAGTTGCTTTCTCTCTCTGTCTCTCACTTTGTCTACGTACACACACACACAAAATGTTTCCTAAGCCATTGAGAGTAGGTTGCATTCATCATGTGCCTTTACCCCTAATTCTTCAGTGCGTATTTCCTAAGAACAAGGATAATTCTCTTTCCTAACCACAGTACAGTTACCAAGTTCCAGAAATTTAACATTTACACAATAATAATCTAATCTGCAGTCCAGTTTCATCAATTGACCCTAAAATGTCCTTTGCACCAAAATTTTTTCCCCCGTACAGAATTGAGTCCCAGGTCATGTATAACATTTAGTTATCATGTCTCCTTGGTTTCCTTTAATCTGTAACAGTTTATGATCGGGGATTTTCGAGGAATAAAGGCTAAGCATGTTATAGAATGTTCCCCAAATTGGTTCTGCCTGACTTTTATCTATGATTAAATTAAAGCTATGCATTTTTGGTTGCAGTACGTAACTGGTACGTCCTTTTCAGGGTATCACATCTGGAGGCACCTGACGCCTGCTTGTGTCATTACTGGTGATGTTCCTTTGGATAACTTGGTCAAGATGGCATTCAATTTCTCCACTGTATAGTTAGTAATTTCCTTTTATAATTAATAAGTAATTTGTGGGGAGACACTTAGAGACTATGTAAGTATCCTATTCTTCATATATTGACGATTCCTCCTTGAATTGATTTTACTATGAAGGTTACAATACTGTAATTTTCCAATACCATTATCATTCTTTTACATTTATTACTTGGTATTCTACTGAAAGGAAAAGCATTTCCTTTCCCCCGTGTGTGTATGTGTATGGGTGTATATAAATAATTATTTATTTATTAATATCTGTATGAACTCAGGGATTCCGCCTCCCCCCAGTGGATTATATTACATTACTTTCCTTTTTTATTTTGATGTTCAAATCTGGTGTCAGAATTTGATCCCACAGGTGTCCCACAATTGGCCTGTGGGGTCACACTGCTCCAGTGCCCTGTGGCATGCTCCCATCAGTCATTTAGCACCTTCTTACTCCTAGCAGAAGCTGTTCCAGGATCACCTTGTATCTTCCTTACCTGGGGCCTGGGATTCACCATTTCTCTCAAGAGGCCTGGTTCCTTTCAGTGGGGAAAGGTATTTAAAAACCAAGATCTGGACACTGGGTATGCCACTGCTACTGAGATGTCATGGCTTCTGAGCCCTTTCATCCAACAGAGGTAAGGGACACACAATACATTTACTTAAGTCATGAGTTCATGCCGATACCTCTAATTCCAATCCAACCCCACAAGGTTCTTCCTTGCCTTTTCCTGTTCCATATTTGTATTTTTCTTCTTCCACTGAAAGAGCAATATATTTACTCACATGCTCAAGCCTACAATACAGACAACATAATTTTAGAATTGCTGTACTCATCCACAATGAAAAGTACCTACTAAGAAGAGTGTAAGATGTATCTGCAGTTCTTTTTATTTTTCTTTAGGCAGAGGATATACTATGTTCAAAACTTACCGGTATTAATTCTCCCTTCAGTGTGATTGTTATTCATATGAAATACAGTTGGTTAATTTATTTCTGCTGCTTTTCAGTTTTACGTTTGTACTCATCCTTGTTGATTTGATTTTTGAATATGTAAAACATTAACATGAATCCAAACATCAAAACCATAAAAAAGTTATACTTAGAGAAATATCACTCCTTCCCCATCCTTTCTCCCTCCTTCTCCCCTAGCCTTCTAGGGAATCAATTTCATTAGTTTCTTGTAAATATAAGGTATTACAGATTTTAAAATAAGCTATCATAATGCATTTTTCCCCACATCATACCTTCCTCAAACTCATAAGACCCACAGCAGTCAACAAAGGCCCAAAGTTTTCATCACTGTTAAGGGCTGCAGTTTAATTGCTATCAAAATCTTTGTATTTACATGCTTGATTCTTTCTAGTCTTGTTCATCAAAACTGCGTGAAGTTTAAAGCATGGGTGCACGTTAAGGACCAAGTGTTACTGATTACCTGTTCCTCAGAAGCTTCTAGAGGAGGGGATGCCTGTTGTTCAGACGGCCGATCATCCTGATAGTTTACACTTCGTTGCTGACGTAAAGGGGGGAAAAGACGATTCCAATTGATCATTCCTCCCTAAAAACAGATCAACACACATTTACCACACACAGAAAGAGCAGGACCATCATAATGCTTGAAAGAGCTTTCTCTTTCAATGCAATCACATCTATACAGTAAGAAATAAAATTTTACATTCATCTGCTTTGTGCAAGCAATTCAAATCCTAAAGTATCACAACACCCTTCAATCACCAGGATAAAAGCGGTGACCTGCAGTAGGTGCACAAAGAGAGAAAAGAAGGTAAGCGATACCGCCAAAGTTAGCTGTGCAGTTTGGCTCTAGAAGGCAGCTGAGAACACATACGGACGTTCTCAACATCAGTACAAATATGCCCGCACTGACCCTGTCCCGCCTCTGTTTGACTCTTAGTAGCTCAGGGCTTTGCAGGGTGTGACAGGGAAGGAAACATGGAGACAAGGTTAATTCACTGCAGACAACCAGAAACATGGAGTTTCCTTCAGCAGCAATTAAAAATTTTTTTTTTAAGTGAATTCTTTAAATGTCTCAAACAAACAAACAAACAAACAAAAAAACCCAATTTTCTGGAAAAACGTAATTTACTAAAATTTATTCAAGAAAAAATAGAAATTGGTCATCATTTTTGAAGACTGTTCCCAAGCACCTACAAAAACTGAACCATGTGTATGATTCAGCAATCTCACTTCTGGAAATATATGCAACAGAAGTGCAAACACATGTTCACCAAGAGATATGAACTAAAATGTTGTCTGTGGCACTACTTAGAGTGGTTTCAAAGACTGGAAACTACCCAAATGCCCATCAACTGTAGAAGGGATAATTATGGTATATTCATATAATGTAATATTATACAGTGGTTAGAATGAATTACAGCTATATGTAACAATATGGATGAATCTCTCAAATATAATGTTAAACGAAATAAAATGCAAAGAAGTACATTTGTATGATTACTTTAAAAACGTTTATTCTGGCAAAATACATATAACAAAATTTGCCATTTTGACATGTACAATCCAGTGACATTAATTATATTCACCATGTTGCGCAACCATCATCATCATCCACTCCTAAAAGTTCTTCATCACCCCAAAAACAAACCGAGGACCTCTTAAGCAATAACTCCCCATTCTCCTTTTCTCCTAGCCCCTTGAAACCACTAATAAACTTTTCATCTCTATGCATCTGCCTTTTGTCTTAGTTATCAAGTGCTGCTATAACAGAACTACCACAAACAGATGGCTTTAACAAACAGAAGTTTATTCTCTCACAGTCTAGGAGGCTAGAAGTCCGAATTCAGGGCACCAGCTCCAGGGGAAGGCTTTCTCTCTCTGTCGGCTCTGGGAAGGTCCTTGTCATCAATCTTCCCCTGATCTAGGAGTGTCTCAGTGCAGGGACATGCACGTAGGATGCGCTCTGCTCCTGGTACTACTTTCTTGGCAGTATGAGGTCCTTCTCCTCTTTGCTCCCTTCTCTCTTTTATATCTTTGACTCAAGATACAACCTAATCCTGTAGGTTGAGTCCTGCCTCATTAACATAATTGCTTCTAATCTTGCCTCATTAACACCATAGAGGTTAGGATTTACAAGACGCAGGATAATCACATCAGATCACCAGATGGTGGACAATCACACAATACTGGGAATCATGGCCTAGCCAAGCTGATACACATTTTTGAGAGACATGATTCAATCCATAATACCTATTTTACATATTTCATATAAATGGGATCATATAATATTTGTCCTTTTGTGTCCGAGTTATTTCACTTAGCATGTTTTCAAGGTTCACTCAGGTCATACCATGTATCAGAACTTCATTTCGCTTTATGCCTGAATAGTATTCCATTGTATGTATATATCACAATTTGTTTATTCATTTATCTGTTGGACACTTAGGTTGTTTCCACCTTTTGGTTATTGTGAATAGTGCTGCAATAAACACTGGTGTGTAAGTCTCTGTTTGAGTCCTTGCTTTCAATTCCTTTGGGTATATACCTAGCAGTGGAATTGCTGGGCCGTATGGTAGTTCTATGTTTAACTTTTGAGGAACTGCCAAACTGTTTTCCACAGCAACTGCACCATTTTTCATTCCACCAGCAATGGATGAACATTTCAGTTTCTCTACATCCTCATCAATACTTGCTATTTTCTTTCTTTTTTATAAAAGCCATTCCAGTAGGTGTAGAGTGGTACCTCACTATGGTTTTGGTTTTCATTTCCCTAACGAGGTTGTGCATCTTTTCATGCGCTTATTGGCTATATGTATATCTTCTTTGGAGAACTGTCTATTCAAGTTTTTTGCCCAATTTTAAATTGAGTTGTCTTTTTGTTGTGGATTATAGGAATTCTTTGTAATTCTAGATATTAAATCCTTATCAGATAAATGGGTTTCCAAATATTTTCTCTCATTCCATAAGGCTGTCTCTTTACTTTCTCAATAAAGTCCTTTGATACTCAAGAAATTTTAATTTTGATGAAGTTCAACTTACCCTTTTTCTTTTGTTGCTTGTGTTTTTGGTGTCATATCTAAGAGTTCATTGCCAAAAACAAGGTCTAAAAGATTTACCCTTATATATTTTTCCTAAGAGTTTTATGGTTTTAGTTCTTATATTTAGGTCATTAACTCAATTTGAGTTAATTTTCATATATGGTGTGAGGTATGGGTCCAACTTCATTCTTTTACATGTGGAGATCTAGTTGTCCTAGCACCATTGGTTAAAAAGACTATTCTTTCCTATCGAATGGATTTGGCATCCTTGTCAAAAATCAGTTGGCTATAGATGTATGAGTTTATTTCTGGACTCTGCATGATTACTTTTATGTAATAAATAAAAATAACAAAACGAAATAATCCATGCTGTTGCAAGCCAGAATAGTGGTTTTCCCCTGATGGGGCAGGACCTGCAAAGGGAAAAGAGGAGGGCTTCTGGGGTTCTGGTAATGTTCTGTTTCTTGATAGGGAAGCTGGTTACACAAGTGTATTTTGTTTGAGAAATTTCGTGGAGCTGTATACTTAAGGATATATGTGTGTGTGCTTTTCTGTGTATAATTTTCTATATGAATGTTATACTTTGATAAAAAGTTACAAAAAGAAATAGAACATCTGACTAGGCTTTTAGCCATTAATGAAACTGTAACAGTATTTAAAAATCTACCCTCCAAAAATTTACAGGTGAAGTCTATGAAACCCTTAAAGATGTTCCATCTTATACAAACTACTGTAGAAAACAGAAGAAGGAAAGTTCCCCATCTAATTTTTTGAGATGCATATATAATTGTTTCCAAAACCAGACAAGGCCATTGTTAGAAAAAATAATTATAGAAAAATTTAGTTTTCATCTATGAATACAGATACAATAATCCTAAATAAAATATTAGCAAACTCTACCATGTTCAAAAAAGTATTATTATTGGTATGTACTATATTAGGGTTCATTTCAGGATTAGAAAATATGAACAGAATAAAGGAAAAAAACACAAATGATCATTTCAAAAGATATGAAAACAATTTGATAAAATTTAGTATTCATTCATGAAAAGACAAGATTGTCTATTACCACCTCTTAATATTCGACACAAATCATAGTATGAGACTAAAAAAGACAGAAGAAAAAGTGTAAGAATAAAAAGGTAGAAAGACAACTGTCATTATTCACATATGATGATTATCTACTTAGAAAATCCAAGAGTGTCTACAAAGCATTAGAACTAATGAGTACAAGGTTAAAAAAAAAAACAGTAACATTTGTAAACTGTGATCATTTAGAAAACTTGAGTGCTAAAAGTTACTATTACAAACAGCAATAAAAACTATAAGGTACTAAATCTAATGAATGATCTGCAAGATCTTTATGGAGAAAATTATAAAACTGGATTGAAGGACATCAACAGGCCTAAATAAATAAAAACATTCACACACATTCACTCTTGGGAAGACTCAACACTGCCAATACCTGTCAGTATCTATCCATATACTGGTCAATTCCAAACTGCAACAGATTGCTTGTTGTCCCCTATTATAGACTGAATTATATCCCCGTAAAATGTACATCATCTTGGCTAGGCCATGATTCCCAGTATTGTGTGATTGTCCACCATTTTGTCATCTGACGGGATTTTCCCATGTGTTGTAAATCCTACCTCTATGATGTTAATGAGACAGGACTACAGGCAGTTATGTTAATGAGGCAGGACTCAATCTCCAAGATTAGGTTGTATCTTGAGTTAATCTCTTTTGAGATGTAAAAGAGAGAAGTGAGCAGAGAGACAGGGGGACCTCATGCCACCAAGAATGAAAAACCAGGAGGGGAGAGTGTCCTTTGGACCTGGGGTTGCTGCACTGAGAAGCTCCTGGACCAGGGGAAGACTGATGACAAGGACTTTCCCCTAGAACTGACAAAGAGAAAGCCCTCCCCTGGAGCTGGCACCCTGAATTCGGGCTGCTAGCCTACTAGACTGTGAGAGAATAAATTTCTGTTTGTTAAAGCCACCCAACTGTGGAATTTCTGTTATGGCAGTGTTAGATAACTAGATAACTAAGACAACCCCTAATATCCATATCCCCCCTTTTATTTTGAGACACGTCCACTACATTTTCAGCTTCCTGTGCAGGTAGGAGTAGCCTTGTGGACTAAGTTCTGTCAATAGTATGTAAGTAGAAAGGGTGTGTGAGAGTTCTAGGAAGAGTCCTTAAAGGCAGGCGTGCACTCTTCTTTGTTGCTTCCTCATCCTTCCTGGAGCTCAAGCAGCCATTCTGGACTATGAGGCAGAAGCCCTGTGCCAACGATAAAGGAGCATGATAACAGGAGCCTGGGCCACTGACAACTCCATGTGGCCGTCTCACCAGCTCAGGGCTGCCAATTTCTGGACTTCTGCTACATTACAGAGAAATAAACTCCTACCCTGCTTAACCTTCTGTTATAGTGGGTTTTCAGTCACTTGCAGATAAACCTATTTCCAACTGGTATATATTCAAAATTCAAAAGTGTGTACACCAATGTTCCTTGCAGCATTATTTACAATAGCCAAAAGGT